ATATATGGTATTGAAAGTAATTAATGAGCTAAATAGCATATACTGAGAAACTCTAAAGGGGTGGTAGATAAAAAAAATATTTATAAAACTTCATTTTCACCCCCAAGGAAATGATTCCCCAAAATGATTTGTATCTCAAAAAAATACTTTATTATAGAGACAATTTATAGGCTAGGTGGCATGTTGTGAGAAAGCTTCTGAAGCGGTGGTAGATAAAAAAATATACGTATAAATTCATTTTCACCCTCAAGGAAATGATTCCCCAAAATCAGTTGTAGCTCAAAGAAATACTCTGTTATAGAGACAATTTATAGGCTAGGAGGCATGGTACTACTATTCGTCATTGTCTGTCAGAGCGGTGCGTAGGACCTTTGCTCTTGGTTGAAGTCTTGTAAGTCAGTAGGTCTGTCAGGTCTGGTTGCCCAGATACCAAACAAAGTCAGGGAGAAAGCAGGGAAGAAGAAAGGAAGGAATGAAGGAGGAAGAGCAAAGAAAAAAGAAGTGCATCAATTTGAGGGGTGCCTTGGCATTGCTAGTTAGTATTCGGCAATTTTAAATTGATCCTAAAATTAATTTTGGGATTGGTTGTTGAAGAAAAATTATAATTTTGGTTGGACCTAAAGTCGCACGATTTAATTTTGTTCACAGTGCGAGTCGCCGCCTTGTGTGCTTGCGAACTTGCTCGACTGTGTAGCCTACTGACTCGCGCAATAAAGGGTTATTATGCGATTCTGCTTGACTGTAACGTAGCTGCGCTTGTTGTTTGATGTAGTCCCTTAGGTAAGGGATGTCAAGGTCTTTGTGAAGGGTCTCGTTGGAAACATACCATGGGGCGTTAGTAATTGTACGCAAGGTTCTGTTCTGCAAAACCTGCAGGCTACGCAAACGCGTTTTGGCGAGAAAACACCAAGCCGCACTTGCGTAAGTGATCGCTGATCTAATAACCATATTGTATAGCCGAACTTTGTTGATCAAACTTAATTTTGATGTTCTACATAGCAAAGGATAGAGTTACCGAAACGAGATTTGGAATTTAGTTTTTAACGCTTCTGCCAGGTTATCCCCTTGTCAAGAGTGACCCCGAGATACTTAGCAGAGCTTTCCCATGGTACCCGAGCTCCATTCACTGAAAACTCAGACGGGGCGCCGCTACGTTTTTTAGTACAATAGATTGCCTGCGTTTTCGAATGATTAATTTTGATCAGCCACCGATTCGCCCATTCCAATACCTCGTCCACTGCACTCTGCAGCCTGTCGTGAACTAGATCCCCAGAGCACGACTGGGCCACCAGGGCAGTGTCATCAGCATAGAGATAGGTTTCACAGCTGCTGGGGTAAGGGACGTCATGAATAAAAAGTGAATAAAGTCTGGTCGAAGAACCGAACCCTGAGGGACACCGGCTTTGATGGGCCGTATTGTCGACAGAACGTTATTAATTTTGATCCGAAATTTCCTACCCTCGAGAAAGGATTTCAAAAATTTTAGGAGCCAGAAGAGGAAGCCCTTATGGATCAATTCGTAGAGAAGGCCCTTGTGCCACACCTTGTCAAATGCCTTTGCTACATCCAGTAGCAAGATGCCAGTACTTTCGTTAC